GGGCGACAGAGTGAGACCCCAACTTAAAAAAAAAAAAAAAACCGACCACTTTAGAGTGTACAACCTCTAAAAGCTGGGCACAGTGGCTCATGCCTTTTATCCCAGCACTTTGGGAGTTCAAGGTGAGAGGATTGCCTGAGTCCAGGAGCTCAAGACCAGCTTGGGCAGCATGGTAAGACTTTGTCTCTACAATAAACCAACTAGCCAGGCATGGTGGCACACACCTGTAGTTTCAGCTACTCGGGAGGCAGAGGCAGAATGATTGCCTGCGCCCAGAAGGTGGAGGCTACAGTGGTCTTGATTGTGGCACTGCACTTCAACCTGGACGACAGAGACTGACTCAAAATAAATAAAGCGTACACCCTAGTGACATGGAGTGTATTCACAGCACTGTGCAGTCACTTCTTACTAGTTCCAGTACATTCCATGACTCCAAAGTAAAATCCTGTAACCACTAAGTTACTGCCCATTCTTCCCCCTCCCTGCCTTGAGAATTACCAATATGCCGTCTCTACAGACTTATTTTTATTTATTTTTTAGTCAGTTCCCAGGTACATGGGTCTCAGGACCATGCCACCTCTGCATGGCTTGGCCAGCATGCCTCATGGAACCTTCCAGACTGTGTCACACCCCAACTGCCCTGCTCAATGCTTCCGGGGCTCCCTTAGCCCTCCTGCTAGAGGCTGGATTTCTCATATAGTCTCCACCCCATTGAGAGGTCTCCAGGCTGCCTGGAGGCCCCTCCTGACGTCCCTCCTGCCTACTGCAGGACCGACCCTAGGATGGACGGGTGGTGACTTCACCCTTCCGGAAAGACTGGAAGAGCCCCATGCCACTGGAGGGCTGGACTCACACCTAGGTGTCCCTAGAGCTGTGCTGCCCCTGGATAGAGACATCCCCCAACACTGCTGCGTCCCCACTTCCCTGCACAGGGCCTGGCTCTGATAGGCTGCAGACACCGGTGGAACCTCTGGAAATAAGGTGGACCCGGCACCCCCATGGTCCAGGCCCGGGCAGCCTGTCACTCTCCTGCCAGAAGTGGCCCCAAGACCCTGGTTCCCCCAAGCACAACTAACCCCTTCTCTCCCTCCCGGAAAGTCAGCACAGCACCACGGCCGAGTGTCGCAAAATCAGAAAGACCATCAGCGTTGTTTTTATTGCAAATCAGTTAACAAAAAAAGATGAAAAAAAAATACAGCATTTTCATCACCTACAATTTTGTATGTAGATAACTTTTTTAAAAGTTTCCTTTTTTTGTAAACTACACTCTATTTTATAAAAACGGTAAGAATCAACATCTTGGGACGCGTCTGTTCATGTCCACGAGGGATGGCGCACTGCCGCCCTTGGGACCCCGGTGCCGTGGAGGGCGTGCGGTGGCTGGTGGCAGCAGCACCCAGCCTGCTGTTCTGTGCTCTCAGGAGCTACTGTTGAGGCAGCTGAGGTCACCAGGCCCGGGTGGCACTGAGCTATCTCTGACGTCCCTCATCAGCATGACACATGACAGACCCGTTCATTGAGATTTTTTAAACAAAATCCACCTTTAAAAATGTATTTACAGATCTTAACTCTGCCATAGGCTTATACTCCAGATCACAAGAATCTGCTCCTCCCTGGGGGAGCACTCCCAAACCAGGAGGGGGGCCCAAAAGCAGGCACCCCACCTTCTGCCAGCCCCTGCCCCAACCATGTGTCCCCCACAGTCCCCGGGACTGCGGGGACAGAACCAAAGGACACAGCCCATGACGTTCCAACAACTCGATGCGGCTCTGGCAAGTATCTCGTAAGACGCAGGAGCCCGTCCACCGTTGGGGCCTGCAAGCCCAGGCTCCAGCCCTGACAGTCTTCCACAGAGCCTGGAGGATGCTCTTCAGGCTACTATGTTGGGGCCTCCCCCTGGGGAAGGGCCAGGCAGTGTCTTTCCCCGTGAAAAGGGTAGGATTCCTCCCCGTGCGACCCAGGCGGGCACCACTTGTCTGCACGTCTGACGTTTCACCTACATGATGCTTAAATATCAAGAATGGGGGAGCTGGGTGGTTCTGGAACTTGCAAGACCAATGAACAACTACATAATACTGAACCCGAAACAAAGATTCATGATTGGTACCATGGCATGTGCTCGTGGTGCACCCCAAGAACACATTTTTAAAAGCATGCTTTAAAAAAGTTATTTAAAAAAGACACCAAAACATTGAAACCCCATCATTTTACTTAGGTTTCCTATTTATTTATTCATTCGTTCATTGTAGAGACGAGGTCTCGCTGTGTTGCCCAGGCTGGTCTTAAAACTCCCGGGCTCAAGCTATCCTCCCACTTCAGCCTCCCGAGTAGCTGGGACTACAGGCGTGAGCCACCACACCTGGCCTAAGTTTTCTGTTTTAGATGCAAATGAAGCCATGTGTCCAAAGCCAGAAGGTTTTTGCCTTTGACTCTATATGCATCCTCTCCTAAAATGCGGGTGATGCTGGGACTTGGGGGACCGGGATCAGCATGGGGGGAGGGTGCATCTCGGGAAGTGGCGGCGGCCTGGGCACCCCAAGGGGCTTTTTGGATGATGCTGGTTCAAAAGTCCCTTTTCCAACATCACTTCTTTTGGATTTTGAAAAAAGAAAAAAGGAATCAATAAATAAATGGCATTTATAAATCATGAATCTTTGTTTATATTTTACAAACACATAAGAATCTTTAAACTAAGGAGGAAAATCACAACTCAGAACTAATTTGTTTTCCTAGGACAGATAAAAGTCTCTACCTGGAGCCATAGAAAACAGTCCGTATAAATAAAAAGAATGTTTCCGTGTAAAATAAAAGTACATAAATAAATACTAAAAAAAAAATTAAAATTTGTGTCCTCTTCTTTTGTATAAAAACATGTTTTTTATAAAAGGCTCCCTTGGCCGGCCCCAGCCTCCGCGGAGCACACAGACGCCCAGCAGGGCTTGGGAAAGGAAGCCGGGGTCCCCGGGGCGCGGCTGTTTACTTGAAGGCCTCAGGAATGTGGGCGATCTGAGACGGCATGCTGGTGGGGGGGCTGGACACGCCCTCAGACCAGTCGGACACGTTGGAGCGGGGCGACGAGCTGGACCACTGGTCAGGGGATTCGGGGGACGGGGTGAGGAAGGGGTGCTCAGGCACCTGTAGCTGGTGGCTGGGGGTGTTGTCCACGGGTGAGGAAGAGTAGCTGTGCTGGGAAGGGGGTGTCAGGAACTGCGCGGCCGTCATGGGTGGGACCAGGGAAGATGGCAGCGAGGTGGGCAGGGCCGGGCTCTCCTGGGGTAGGACAGTGTGGGCCGGCAGGCTGCCGAGGCCCAGCGGCTGCGCATCCGCCTGGCTGGGCTCCCCACCCAGGTAGCTCCGGCCCAGGGGGCCCCCGGCCGCCGAGCTCACGCCAAGGTGGGGCTGCGGCGGCGGCTGCAGGCTCTGTGGAGGCACCTGCAAGTTTTGCTGCTGCTGTTGCACCTGCGTGGTCTGCACCAGGTGGGGCTGGGCGGCCAGCCGCGTGGTGGGCAGGCCTTGGTAGCTCATCATCTGGGACAGGGTGCTGGTGGCGAGCCCACCGTGCAGTGGGCCCAACATGCCGTGCTGTAGGGCTGGGGCTGGCGTGCTCAGGGTGCCGGGTGCCACGCTGCCTCGCAGAGGGTTGTACTGGCCAGGCGCCATGCCGTTCTGCAGCCGCGACAGCCACTCGCACGGGCCGTTCAAGCCGGCGGGCCCACCCACGGTGAAATTCACGGCCCCTCCACCACTGCTGCCACCAGCAGAGCCCAGGACCGTGCCAGCGCCAGAGGCCACGGGCAGGTGGGACAGGCGCGGAGGGCCAGCCTCAAAGGCCAGCCGGCCGCCACCACCCAGCGCGGCCATCTCGGGCTTGGCAGCCACATTCAGGTGGCTGATGCCCAGGTGGGTGTCAGGCATGCCAGGTAGGTGACCGAGAGGCACAGACGGAGACTGCTGGAATGGGGAGGGCAGCAGGGGCGGCGAGGCCACGTCCGACAGGTAGCCGTGGGGAGACTCCAAGGAGTCCACGGGTGACAGCAGGCTGGAGCTGTCCAGCAAGCAGCCCTTGCCGTCCTGTGACTTCTTCCTCCGTGCCTTGAGGTCCTTGGCCTCCCTGCCTCCGCAGGCCAGGCCCTTGGTGCTGGGCTTACGTGCCTTCTTACCCTGCGTGCTGGGCTTCAGGTTGCCCAGGTAGCCATTGGGCGAGCAGAGTGGGGGTGATAGGGTGGGCGTGGCCCCCAGGGGAGCGCCGTGGAGCTGGGGGCTGCGCACCAGGTTGTACTCATCCAGCAGGCGGACGATATCATGGTGCATGCGCTCCTGAGCGATGTCACGTGGCAGCCGGTCCATGTGGTCTGTGATGTCCCGGTTGGCGAAGTGGTCCAGCAGCACCTTGGCGGTCTCGTAGCTGCCCTCACGGGCGGCCAGGAACAGGGGTGTCTCCTCCTGGGGGATGTGGGCATGGGGAGGTGAGGGCGGCTGGACCTGGAGTGGGGGCCCTCCACAGTGCCTATCACTTCCCCAGAGGGGGCAGGAAGCTCAGTGGGACCCCACCCCAGCATCCTGCACTCACCTGTCCCGATTCTTTGTGAATTTTATTATTATGATGTTATTTTTGAGTCGAGGTCTCACTCTGTCACCCAGTCTGGAGTGTAGTAGCACGATCTTGGCTCACCAAAGCCTTGACTTCCTGGGCTCAGGAGATCCTCCTGCCTCAGCCTCCCGAGTAGCTGGGACTACAGGCATAAGCCACCAAGCTCAGCTGATTTTTTGTAGAGATGAGGTCTTATTATATTGCCCAGGCTGGTCTCAAACTCCTGGGCTCAAGTAATTATCCCGCCTCAGCCTCCCAAAGTGCTGGGATTACAGGCATGAGACACTGCTTCCAGTTTCTTTGTTAATTTTAAAGCCTTAAGTGTATCTTTTGAAAACCACCCAAAGGTGCTCTGTGGGACCCTCTATTCTAAATGGGCAGGGCTCCATCTTTAGAGGGATCAAAGAACCCACTGAAAATCTAGCAAACTTTGGGCTTTTTTCCCTTCCCCCCACAACACGCAGATGAAAATTCCTGCTGCAATTCCGGGGACTTGGGGATCCCTGAGCCCATTGCGACATCAGGGGAGGAATATCCTCCCTGTCCAGATGGTCACTGAGCCACTCTGGCATCCAAGCACCTTCCCTGGGTCTCCTATATACAGTGGACATGCTACATGTCCCTGTGAGGAGAAGGGGAAGGGTCTCCCAGGCCTTGGTGCCTTCCTCTGTGCCTCAGGATCAGTCCCTCTCACAGGGTCATAGTGCTGGCCCTGCTGCGAACCTGGGAGTGCCCAGGGCCAGCAGTGCCCTACCCCTGCTGGGTCCCCTCACCTGAGAGGGAGAGAAAGTCTGGCTTGAAACCCAAGCGGGTGACGGCTCTAGTGGTGAGGCAAAAGTGCCTGCGCCCGTGTCCCCAGCGTCCAGGGGAGCCCAACAGGTGCCAGATCAGCCTAATGCCCCAGGGATCAGAAGGAAAGGCCAACACAGCTCAACCAGGAGCTTCCTCTGCCCCATAGGATACTCAGGGGACAGAGGCGGCAGTGAAATGTGGGAGAGTCCACATGGAGGGTGGGGCTGCTCACATCTACACCTGGGGCCTCACCACACCCAAGTCCCCACCGTGGACCCCATGCTCTGCCTGAATCTGCCCCTGCCTGGTGACAGCCAGGGATGGAAGGCGAGGGTCTGGCGAGGTGACGCAGACAGGGACAGCTGCAGCACCACCATGAACTGTGATAAGCTATGTGCCCTGCCTCGAATGCAGCCCAGGGGGTGAGGGTGGGTCCGCGTGGTGTCCCAGTGTCATGGAAACGGCTCCATGAACATGCGCTGAAGGGAGTACTCAGTAGGTATGAGGCGCCATGCCCGGGGCCTGCATGCACGTGCCGATGGAATCTCAGTGACTGGGTTGGTATCCCTCACCCTCTAGCGTCCCTTCCCCTGCCCCCTCTCCCCCAGCCCCCTTCCCCTTTCTCCCACCCCATTCTTCTTCTTGCCTCCCTCTCTCCCCCTGCCCTTCTCTCTCTCTGCCCCTCACCATCCCTCTCTCCCCTGCCCTCCAGGGTCACCTTGTTGTTCTGCATGTCCTTGTTGGCCCCGTTCTTGAGGAGCACGACCGCGGCATCCACATTGTTCACAGCGGCCGCCCAATGCAGGGCTGACTTGCCTGTGTAGGAGAAGCAAACAGAGGGCGGTTGGGGCTGGGTGGATGGCTGCCGGACCCCATCCCCGCTAGCCAGGCCGCAGCGTGGGCTCACCCAGGTCATCCACAGCATTGACGTCGGCATGCGAGTTGATCAGGTCCTCCAGCATGCCCTCCACTGCCAGGCGGGCAGCCAGGATCAGTGGCGTGGTGCCATCATGCATGCGGGCATCAAGGTCCGTGGCTCGGTTCCGGATCAGGATCTGGGGAATGGGAGGGCTTCAGGTGGGGACTCGGCCAGCAAGAGCCCGAGGTGTCCAGCCCAGGACTGACAAGAAGCTGCAGGATGCTACTGGGCTGCAGGGGGCCCAGGCCAGAGGGCATGGCTCCACCCAGACCCGGCCCCTTGGTAACAGCAGGCCTCTGGTGACCATGAGTGGCCCCGTCTCACCCCCACTGTGGTCTTTGCTACCATGACCACTTGTCAAACAGAGGAGCTGAGTCCCTGCCTGATAAGGTGAGGGCCATGGCCAGCGTGGGAAGCCCAGCTCATGGCGCTGCAGGCTCTTGGACCACCAAGCTACGCCGTGTCTGGCTGGGCCCTTCCGTGACAGCCTGGCCCAGGTCCTGGGCGGGAGGGGTGGCCCCTGCTCACTAGAGACACACAGCGCAGCCCAACTCCCACAGATCACCCGGGAATCGAGGTCTTCATGTGCAAAACAGGCAGTGTGCAGAAGGGCCTGCCCCGGGGGGCTCGTTTAGATTTCCTTCCCGGCTAATCTCCATTTCTTATTTCTGTAGAATGACAATGCCTCACTTGGGGTGAGGAGTCATTAAGCCGAGAGCTTTGTGATGACTCCCCAGGTGCAAGCCCCATCTGAACTTGCTCCACAACGTCTGGATGGTAGTCTGGAGTTGAGGGACCCTGCCAGGGGCATCCCGTGGAGACCCAGGTATCCAGATCCCTAAATCCACCGCAAGGCCAGAGCCCCAGGTCTGCAGGCAGCAAGCGGCAGTCTCTAAACCCTTCTCACCGCCACGGGCAATGCCGTGGCCAAGGCTGAGACGGAGGGGCGGGGCTGTGAGGCTTGTCTCGGGTAGGAGTGGGGAGTCCCTGCCTCAACCAGCAGGCCCCTCAGCCTCCTGCTGGTGTACCCCTGGCCTGACACCCCTAAGAGGACACAGGTGGGTCTGATGCCCTCCAGGGCCAAGACCCACAGTGAAGACACTGCCCGTCCCTGCCTTGGCTGTACTTGGGGCTGGGCTCAAGTACAGCCAAGGCAGGGACGGGCAGTGTCTTCACTGTGGACCTTGTGTTGTCCCAGACCAGTTGGTGGCCTCAAGGTAGGCAGGTGGGTGCTGGGTAGCCACAACCTACCTGGAAGACACCTTGGGCATCAGCAGACACAGCCGCATGCAGCGGGGTACGGCCCATGTTGTCCTGGATGTTGGCGTCTGCGCTGGCCTCCAGCAGGCGCTTGGCGGCGTCGGAGCGGGAATAGCGGGCAGCCAGGTGCAAGGCGGTCTCCCCAGTGCGGTCTGTCTGGTTGTGCAGGCTGGCGCCCTGGTAGATGAAGTCTGAGATCACAGCTGGTGCGTCTTCCTCCTCCTCACTGTTCCCAGTCTCCAGGCCACCCCCACTGCATGAGGCGATCATGAGTGGGGTGAAGCCATCTGCAGGAGCAAGACGGGACGGGCCTCAGTCCCCTGGCTGCAGCTCCGAGGAGGGTGACCGCAGCCCTGAGTTTGAGCCCACGGAGGGGCCCTGCTGAGGTCCACCCGAACTCTTGCGCTGACGGAGCCAGGTCAGCTGCCAACTCTGGGTGGGCAAGGGAGACCCTTGCAACTCTGCTTCCTGACTTGTCCGAGACACCACACCAAAAACCCACCCAGAAAAGAGATGACGTAAGCAATGCGCAGTTAGAAAATCAACACAGGCCATGGGGCAGTGACTCATGTCTGTAATCGCAGCAATTTGAGAAACTGAGGCAGGAGGATTGTTTGACCCCAGGGGTTTGAGACCAGCTTGGGCAACATAGCAAGATCTCATCTCCAGAAGAAATTTTAAAAACGGCCAGGTGTAGTGGCGCATTCCTATAGTCCCAGCTACTTGAGAGGCTGAGGCGGGAGGATCGCCTGAGCCCAGGGGACTGAGGCTGCGGTAAGCAGTGATCATGCCACTGTATGCCAACGTGGACAACAGAGTGAGACCCTGACTTAAAATAAAAGGAAAAAAAGCAAGAAAATCAACACCCTGAATATCTCTAGAAGCAGCGTTGAGGAGGAAAACGTCATTTATGGGCAGAGTACAGATCACCCCAAGAACCACTCAGGGCTCCCCCAAACTGCTCCAAGCAGGAAACACCCAAGAGCTCTTACCCCAACTCTAACTTCCCAGAGCATCAAGGCCCTTGTCCCCGGGGATCAGGGAGAGAGGCAGGTGGGCTTGGGGCTGGGGAAGCCCGGGCTGCCAGGTGCCGGGGGAGGCCCTTACCGGGCCCGCGTACGTTGACGTCCATGCAGTCGGCGTCCACCTCGCCCTGGGGCGGCGTGGGCGCCATGGCCGACACACGCAAGTCAGCAGCGTCCAGGTGCTGCTGCGTCCACTGCCGGTGGTCCGTCTGGTCGTCTGGGTCAGGAAGAACCACCGGCTCCTCGAACTAAGGGGGAGTGAGCGGAGGGGCTGTGTCAGGCCAGGCATGGATGGCAACAGACGCCCGGGTGCCCCGGGAGCTGCAGGACTCACCCGGAACTTCTTGGTCTCTAGGTCCTCGTCCCCCCACTCGTTCTGGTTGTCATCCATGAGGGCGCCGTCCGAGGCGTTCTTCAGGGGCCTGGGGTTGGGAGGCGAGACTCAGCGCCCTCCGAAGCTGCGGCTCCGTGGCTGCCCGTGCCCTTGGCCCCCGCCCAGTGTGGGAGGTGGGGAGTCCCAGGTCTGGAAGGGGCAGACCCCTAGGGAGAAGGCTCAGGCTGGGCCCCACCTCCCCCGGCACCCCAGGATGCAGGGGCGGCGTCCACTCACTTGAGGCCCACGGAGTCCTCGCCGAGGGGCTCCCGCCGCTTCTTCTTGCTGGCCTCGGACACCTTGAAGCCCTCGGGGAACCACAGCTGGCCATGCTGCCGGCGGCGCTTGCGGGACAGCAGAACCCCGCAGCCCACGAAGAACAGCAGCACAAAGGCGGCCACGGCCACGTACATGAAGTGCAGCTGTGCGGGTGGGGGAGGCTCCACGGTCTCACCTGCGGACACAGGGGCCGGCGGCCGGTGCCCAGACATCAGGCAGTGTCTAAGCGGGCGGGCCGACGGCCGGGGGGCAGCGGACTGGCTCCACGGCCGGGCGCCTCCTCACCCTCGCTCCTCCATCCCGCCCCCCAAAATAAGGTCATTTTCTACGCGATTAATCAGAATTGCAAACTATCGCTAAATTCTCTCCTGCACCCGCCGCCTCTGTCTGGAGACGGCTTGTGCTTTTTTTTCCCCTTTAAGGTAGAAGGATTAGGCAACTTCAAATCGCCGCGCTCGCATTGAGCTGTTAAGACAAAGGATTTAGGGGGATTTTCAAGATACAAACTTCAACACTTCACATGACACCGATCAATGCTTCTCTCTCTCCCTTTTTTTTTTCTTTTAGAAAAAGCTGTAATGATTTTGAAATAATACCCAACAGAGGAGAGCCGGGGGGAAGGGGCGGGGAGGGAAGCGGCTTGTGTTTCCTGGTGGACGGGTTGGTCCCCTGGGTGGTTCACCTCGGGTTGGGAGCGCGTGCCTTCCAGCACGTTCCAGAAAAGCGCTTCCGGCACCCTGGACGGTGGGACATATGCCCACGGGTGGCCTCTGGCACTGAGAGTTCAAGCAGTGAGGGGCCCGAGTGGATCCTCCCCAGGAGGTGGTGGTGGTGCCGGGTTGGGGGGTATGGGGTCCCACACTCACTCTGCACAGCCTCGATCTTATAGGGGATGTTGAGACTGCCCAGTGAGGCCAGCGCCCCCAGGAATGCGGCCACATCGGTGGCGCTTTGAAAGCACTGGGAGGACGCCTGGATGCACTGCCGGTTGTCGATCTCCAGGTAGACGATGGACCTGTGGGGACGCCAGATGGGGGTTGGACCGGATTCCTTCCCCACCACCAAACTCAGGATCCTGATGCCAAAGTCCCGACGGGGTGGAGCACCCTGGGGTGGTGGGGAGTCCCATCTCACAGCAGAGACGGGATGCAGATGGACCTCCCTCGCCCCGCCACAGCCCAAGGGGAGCCTGAAGCTAAACACCACTGGGCATACAGCGGGTGCTCAGCACAGACACCTCTCAACACGATCACCCAGCCCAGGCCCCACCACTCTCAGGCTCCCTTAGGTGCCACGAGCACCCCTTTTCCTTATCTCCAAAGAACAGAGTATGTCCTCAGAGACAGGCCCTCCCCCCGAGCTGTTTCCAGGCTCTGCAGGAAGCACGGGCATGGGGGGGCTCATGGGCGGTCCCTCGGGCCCTCCATGGGGTGAGGGGTACACAGCGGCAACAGGCTCAGATGCTGGCAGGGGCAAGGTTCTCCCATCAGCCAGGACGCCTCCGTGTGAGGACAGGCGTCCTTCAGGGACATCTGTGCCTGGCAAACACAGGATCAGCGTATACAATCAACCCCACTCACAGGTCCAGCTCTCCTGGACTAAGACGGAGTGGGTGGGGAACCTAGCCAGATGTGCCACACTCATGCTCCCTCTGCCCGTGCTCTCCTTGACCAGAATCCCCTGCCACCCAGCTCTCCTTGGTCATTTTTTGCTGCTGTTGTTTTTGAGACGGGTCTCACTAGGTCGCCCAGGCCAGTCTCAAAACCTTGGCCTCAAGCAATCCTCCGGCCTCGGCCTCCCAAAGTGTTGGAATGACAGGCATGAGCCACTGTGCCTGCCCTGTCCTTGGTCTTTAAGCCACAGCCACGCACCCCTCCCTGGGGCCCCTGCTTGGCCTCCCCTCCAGCCCAAACGAGTCCTGTGGGAACCCTGAAAGGTTTTCTTTTTTTTGAGTTGAAGTCTCACTCTGTCGCCCAGGCTGGGGTGCAGTGGCATGCTCGCAGCAACCCCAGTGTCAACCTGCTGGGCTCCAGTGATCCTTCTACCCCAGCCTTCCAAGTAGCCGAAACTATAGGTGTGCGCTACCACACCCAGCTAATTTTTTTATTTATTGTAGAAACAAGGTCTTGTTAAGTTCCCTGGGCTGGTCTCGAACCCACGGTCTCAGGCAACCCACTGGCCTTGGCATCCCAAAGTGCTGGGATTACAGGCTGAGACACCGAGTCCGGCCAGGGTTGAGTTTTTTTTTTTTTTTTTTATATTTTTATTTTTTTTTGAGTTGGAGTCTCACT